ATATATATATATATATTATTAGGTCGATGAACTCGAAGTAGACTGAACTCCTAACCAAAAAAAAAAAAACAGATATAATCGTAGAGCACATTTTTAAATTCTCCAATTCACTATTTTTAGAAAACAATTGCAACAATTATCCTTAACCTCGTCACGTTACCGTGTACGTATCGCACGTCTAATCGAAACCCAGGCAAATTCGATTCAAATTCAATCGATTGGTGGCGAGCGATCGAAGTGGCGGCGTTGGCGGCGTGTCGAAAAGGAAGAAGAATAAGGAAAGAGGAGGAAAGAGAGAGAGAGAGAGAGAAGAAAAGAGAAGCGGCAGGTGTATCGTCGGAATAATTTCAAAAATCACGGAACCGAGTAGGAGAGGAAAGGTTGCGCGCGTTCCACGTCGATCGCTTTGGTGAGTTGCGGCGGTTGCCGGTGATTAAAGCGACAAGAAGAAGAGAAGAAAAGGAGAGAGAGAAAGACACGTTTCTTTACCATAACAATGGCAGGCAGGGTTCGTCATAGCCGTAAGCGCGCGTATTGTTCCACGTTTTCCCACACGCGGCTCCTACGTGACGCGAATTCATCGCGCTAATGGCACCGCGTATATACTTACGCGCGACGCGTGAGCCGCACGAAACGCAACCACGTCGACCGCCCCGTGATTTATCGTGGCTCTTACGCCGAGTCACCTGGAAACCAACATACGAACGAATTAATATGGAATCGCATGGTATACGTGTATACCTTGCAGACTGATTCGCTGCGTGGGCAAGCGTCCCACCGCGTGCAATCGATTTCGCGAATTTTTCGAAAAACATTTTCCCGCGAGATCGTTGCGCACCGACTGGGAATTGGATATTCGAACGAAACGTGTCTCAAATAAGAGATTTTTTTTTTTTTATCAAAAAAGAAGGGAAAAAATTTTTATTATTCGTAATTTTTTTTTTTTAAGAAAAACGCGTGTTGAAATTTAAGATTTTTTTTTTCTTGTTTTAAATTTAAACAGATTTCGCTTTTCAAAGCCATTTGAAAGAAGTTGCGGAGGATGGAAGAAAAAGAGTCCTCGGCAATAGGTTAATCTACCGAATCTTGTTTCTCTTGATCGAGTGAAAGAAGGTATTGTGACAGTGGTTGGATGGTCGCCCGGCTGGAATAATGGTGGGACGCGGTCCGTTCCAAAATCCACGTGTACCACCGATTCGTGACGGCTATTTTTCTCCATCACTCTACACCGAGTGTAGGTAAATGGAAATCACCACCGTTTCGTTCACCGAAAATTCATCGTGTTCCTTCCTAAAAAAAAAAAAAAAAAAAAAAAAATAATGCCCAACCTGTGTTCCCTTGGCTCTCGTCGAGGAATGCTGCGGTTGCCTTGTTCCCTCTCCTCCCCTCCCCCTCCCTATTCGAATACATTACAAATTCGGTATTTTCGGGGGAAATCTTGAACGAAATCAAAAAATTGTCGAGGAAGATTCTGAGGAGAATTCCGAAAGATTCGAACGGACGATTAAATTTTACCAACGAAGATTATTCTTTTTTCTTGAAGAAGAAGAAAAACAGAGTCTTCACCTCTTCAAGGTGACGAAAAGAATCATCCTGATCATTAATCAAATTATAAGTATGTA